AGGTTATCAACGATCTTTATTAGTGGCTGACGTTTCGGTGAGTTCACCTTCTTCGGAGCCTGAAAGGGTGGAAGTCAATTTATGATCTATTCGACCAAATGCCTTACTACCCCACAGAGACCTTCGACCCCATCCTAGCCATCACGCAACCAATCAGGAAGAGGATTACCGTACCTGCCAGATCCACTAGGCCAGCTGCGAGAAGCACAGTCCAGGGAGCTCGAACCGATCGCATTCAGGGGCCCGTAGGGAACGCAAGCCTTATATACGGGGTTAACTCCCGCGTAATTGATAGACATTCTCCCCTCCGGTTCATTTTGGGGTCAGTGACCTGGATCCAAAATGCCTCGAGGGTTTTGCGTGCGGCAGTTTGAATTTCTTGCTCCAGGACCTCGACCGTGACCCCGAAGTCGACCCCGCCATGGGCATTTACCCTGTGGCAACCCAGCGCAGTGGACACCCGTGACCGAGTTAGTGCTTCAATAAACCCTTCAAGTGGTAGTACCTTACGTCACTGATGTCATAACAAACGCTATTGTGAGCTATAATTTTTTTTATATCCTCCATGTATTCATGAATTATTATAGCAAGCGTGTGCTGTTCGTTGAGGAAGCGTCGCTTGATAATTGCCTCCATTTCTTCAGAACGGGAGATAATCGTCAATCATTATATGGAAAAGGGACCGATGAGGCTTAAATTTGGTCAAATGCGTATGGAAGCATTGAAAAAAATTTTGCAATCACTACAACCACGATTCGTTGGAGGTTGCTAGAGTCTAAACAGCCGGCTTTCCAAGCTTATGCAATCTTATACGCCAACCATTTCTCATGATGGATCGGACGCTCGTATGTAGAACCAATACAGTTTTTTAGAACGATAACTGACATGCATTATAAAACAAAATAGACAGTGATCAACAAAGTTCCTATTTGTGCCCTCATCGAGCCGATCTTGGCTCGCTAGCCGTCACTTTCGTAATCTGACTAGGTTTCCTGAGGCGTAGTGCAATGAGAATATAATTCCTATAGTCCTTCATAAACACAAGAACAATTGCTGGAGAAAATATCGTAAACGATGACATGAAAAGACCCATAATGTAGCTCAGAACACTTGGGCTATCAGCGCCGGTGAAAAGAAGCATATACATTGCACAAATAGGTCCGTTGAGCAGCAAAGCCGGACACACAGTCTGAAAGACTACCGCTGTAAGACTAGTGATGCGTAACAAATTCATGTAATACTTCAAAACAAGTCTACACACCGAATACACATACAATCACGAGGGCAATCAGGTGTGGGTTAGGGCGAGAATCCCCAAGCAGGAGGGTGTATTTGGCGCGAGGGGGGGGCTAGGGATGAGGGGTGTATAGTGCGCACGCAGTAACGCAAATTAGTCAAGGTATGCTGAGTCCTGTGCAGCCGAAACTATGCTTTGGCAGCGAACTCGGATATGCAAAAAAATAGTAACTTTAATTTCATTCAAGTAAATCCGAAACAACTGCAATGATTAATGACCGATCTCGCTAAGTCCGTTTGAGACTAACATTACAACTCAAACTCTGGTTCGCGCCATAATGATGCGTTGTCCGCGGGGTCCACGCTTGGCGCTGAGGCTCAACCTGTTTTTCTCGACAAGCCGACGAACTCACCTTATCTTCGTATAGACGTTTACCCAGGTCAGTTGCTTCCTTATCGGGAGTTCAGCAATTGTGGCGTGAGCACGAATCTGGCAGCGTGCGACAAGGGACATGTTCCATCATACGCCAACGGAACAACACTGTTAAAACTAAGTAGCCACAGGCTTCGCCATAAAGCCCTCCCTGAACCCTATAGGCCACATTTTGCTCGCGTGGACAGATCATTACGCACACCAAGCTTACACGCATCCCATCACTTTCTGCCAGGATGCTCAGTGCGTCGCGTATCCAAAGAGTCCAGGCGGATCGACGCTAGAAACGAACCATATCTCTGTGACTGCTCCACCATTTTTCATGCGTTCCTGGTTATTCGAACATGCTCACTTGAAACGGTTCACAGGAAACGGGTTTTTCGCGCAGCTGTTAGTGTTCCCCAAGAAATCTCCAACGCGAGATCATGAATCGCGAAAGCTTCAGAAACAGTTCAAGAGGTTTCTAGAAAGAAAAAATCTATAAACACTCGAAACCGTTCTCAGATTTGTGAATGTTGAGTTACAAAAAATATATTGATTTAAAACCTGTTCAGTTGAAATCACTCCCCAACGAATCCCCATGGCAGATTTCTCTGTGATTTTTGCGACCTTCATAAACGTTTCAGTACTTTTAGGAAGTGCAAACCTTCCTCTACAGTGCGGTTCTCCTCTTCCCCACAGGTCCGCTTTTGAGGAAGTTATGGTCCTTCAAAGACACCCCACTTTGCTGAAAACTCGCGTTCCACATGGCTGGTCCTGCCCAGAATCCCTCCCTTGGTAGCCTCGGCCATTTCAACTGCATTTGCGGCTCGTTGCCTAGGCTCTCGTCTCGTATTACTCCTTTCGTTATTTATGCTTCTTTCTGTTTTTTCGAATATCGAATATTTATCTTCTTCTAGTTTACTCGAATACACGTCAGAGCGCGCCCAGCAATTTTGCTTGGACCGCTCAGAGTGCTCTTAGGAGGAATTGGCTTGATTTCCTGTTTTTTTTTCTTTTAATTGCAATTGATTTAGGTACCAGAGTTTGTTTTGACTCGAGGGAAGGTGGGTGAAACCTAATGGCCTTTCTTTTCTATTCTCTTTTCTGAATTAGGATAGAAATGAGCAAAAAGCGAGGGGGGCCTCATTCAGGATTGTTACTTTTTACCTTCCAATTTCCCTCCGGCTTACTTAGACATAAATTAGGATGTTTATCCCTTCCTCCGGGGGGGGGGCCGGAGAAAATATCGATAGTTTAGGTTATAGAGCAGGGGAGGTCGTATCGAACCCCAAAAAGGGAGCGGTCGTACGTGGCTGTAGCCAAAATATCGCCCTCGAATGTTGTGGGCTGTGCTCCTGTACACATCAAGATATCACGTTTCTTGCCTATTGAAACACTAGAATTATTTGTGCTCTCACGCAGACTTCACATGCGCTCTGGAACTTATGGTTTTAACAGAGCTCTTTGCAATCGACGAGAGCAAGGGCCCTTTGGGCGGGACGAGGCCATGAAAACCTCATTAGGTTTCCCACTTTCAACTTTTGTAGATTGTGTATGGAGATCTTTTTTTGGAGAGGGGAAATTTTTTGTAAATGAAAATTTCGCCCCCCCTTGCTAGAGAGATGGGTAGCGATCAGATGCTTCCGTCACCAAACCTTGAAGGCCACAGTCCATTTTTGCGCCATGATCCCCCAAGAGCCCTGATCCGAAGGAACATCTATTACCGGATCTTTTTCCTTTATCGTTTTTCGGATTGATGCGAGGGAGGGAAAGCGGTCTGTCTCATCGTGTTGGCAACGTGACTTGGTTACCTAATTTTCGTTTTGAAAACAGCCAGCTATATCGGGTGCGTAAGTTTTGGTACGCTTAATAAAACAATGTCAGCCCTACGCTCTTAAAAGAACAACTGTGGAAACCTGTAAAATGAGCATCAAGAGCATGTGCCGGTGAATCTTCTTCGTTTGAGGGCTCATTGCATTCACTCTCAAGCATCGATCAATCTTCCAAGCACAAAGGGCTCCAAGGTTACCAAGTGCTAATATACACTATTGAAGCTCCGATACCAAACGCGCAATTTGGTGCGTTATGGTACTCGAAACAATTATTGTATCAACACACTAGGCTCAGGTCTGCTAAAATGCAACTGAGGAAGTATGCGCCAGCTATACACAGAATGATGTCCGTCACTGTCGTAAAGGAACTTGAAGACTCTGCCCGGGAGCTGAGAAAAGCACGAACCTTCCATATTACTCATGAAACGCCCTATCCGGTCGCATTAACTCACGTATTTTTGCGAGATTTACTCTTTGTGTAACTGTACGACAATGCGGCATTGGGAAACAGCGAACGACGTAAAGCCAGGCTGATACGCAGATTGCATATGGATGAGCCTACATTGATGAAGGAGTAAACATGTGGCCCACTTTAGTGAATTGATAGATATACAGAAAACGAGCTCTGCAATCGTTACATCACGAAACTTGTAAAGCCTTTCAGAGGAAAAACAATTCGCTCTCCAGCGCGTATGAGACTGAGACAAAATTAGGGCACTGACAAGGGAGGTCTTTCAGGTCGTGGCGCGCTTTTCGGAAATGATTTGTTGCATGTTGTAGAGGTCCGAATAGGGATCACAAAAATGGCCCCCACATGTTTCATTTTTTGCCGTTCTGGGTAGAGTTTAAAAACGGAGTGCCAAACGTTGCTGGTCGAGAGAAGCGATTTCTGAACCATGTTTTCCGTGGCTTTTCTATATCATAAATAGTTAAGTTGCATAGCGATGAGACTTCGTCCTGCCATCAACAATACAATTCAAGGTAAAAAGTACTTTATTTGGCACATAGTGAGGCAGCATTGTAGTTTCTCAAGAGATTCTCGCAGCATCCCAACCCGCAGCTGGCGTGAGGGGAGTGTTCAGAGCCAGGTTGGCGCCAAATGACCTAGACGCCAACTTTAAAGGTCAGAATCATCATTAGGGCCATTAACAACCTCTATATACAGACTTTCAGCAAAAATTTTCTCCTCGAATGAGCCTCTTACAAGCCCCTGCGTGTCAGTTGTGTGCCAACAAATTCAGTGGAAAGAATGCTCCTGCAGCAAGTCGGCGCTCATGGTTGCGCCGCGGTCAAAATGGGTGTCGTAAATCCAAAACCGAAAAACGTAAGTGTCCGAAAAATGCAAAGAGTTAGCCGCCAAGGGTATCCGATCCAAGAACCTTCTTCGCGAGAGCCTACCGCACTGTCCACTCCGCCATCCGCGACCACGAAACAGCGGTTGCGAGAATCGTTCAAGTAACTTCGGTACTTGCTCCTCCCCCGTCCACTTTCTTATTGGCTTTACTTTGCTATCTTTTCAATACATAGTGAAGGGACACCTCATGAATTATGGCAAAAATCAAAAGTTTAGCAGCTACACACACGATGCCATTACACGGTTGAAATCGCGCATTTCTCGTTTCAAATTGTTTTCACTCAGTTTTTGACCTCCCCAGAAACGCATAGCAAAAATGAAACCCATTTTTGTAAACCTTGCATGGACCCCTACAACAAGCAACAAACCATTTTTTTAAAAAACGCGCCACGACCTCAAAGACATTCCTTGTGAGAGCACTTGGAAGGGTTCATTTCCACCTTCTGACAACGACCGTAATTGTTGCTAAAGAAGAACTCAGTTTCCTAGAGGCATTCCCAGAAAACCCTCTTGTGTTCAGGGTATGACTTGCTAACATACTACTTACTTGCATAGCTGGATATATCTATAAACAAAATTGTTCATGGCTAATGTCAATGAAGAAATAGAAGTGACGCTGCATAGTGTCACAAGTACTTGTGCCAGGATCCCTTCAGACACCGCTCCTGTTGGAAGGTATAAGAAGGCGAAGTCAGTAGTAATTGCAATCTGAAAGAGGTATTGAACGAACTATCGGAAAATGTGGAAAAGGCGATCGATGGTACTCAAGGAAAGAATCACATTTGAAAAATGCCCATTGATCGTGAATACAAACGTTACTTAGAAAAGAAAGAAGTGGAGCCAAGCTTGTATGAATGCCATCACTGAGATCGTCGTCAACGCAGACAGTTCCTGCGTGACGTTATGACAGTGGCCAAAGGTTAGCTTCTCTACTCAGTTCACAGCAGGGGCGTCGGAGTAGCGGTCACCTCGAACACCTCACCCTCTTTTTGTCAGCGCAGTGTGATTGATAGAAGCGATGTATCAAGTTGTTATCCAAGCGATAGTGAATTTCTTGGGAACTCGTGGCTTACGCTTTCTTCATTCATACGGAGCTGTTCAACGAATGCTAGTTTTTTCATAGTCCGTCTGAACATTTTGGAATTTGTAGTATTTCTGACTCATCTCTCGGTGTTTTTGCAGCATCCTCACAGTACACTGGGTTAGCCCATAAAAGTAGATTTTTACTCTGATAGACATCGGATCGTGGGCTGGAGAGCTCAACCCTTCGTGCATTTCCAAAGAATTAGAGTATTTATAACCAGTCGGATCGCCCAGCTGTCGCCGGGCGCTCCTCCTTCTGTGGCATGACCCGGCTTCGCCGGGCCATGCGCATTTGCCGCGTGCTGAGTTACGAATCGCTGATCAACCTAACTGTTCGAAGGAATGTTCTGCATCAGCCAAGAACTGAAAAGCAGCGCCCGTCCGTCAAGACGCAGAAGCAGCAGGAGCGCCCGCTGCATCACAGAAGGGGAGAGCCGGCCTTAGCCAGCGATCCGACTGGTACGTTCATAACCTACACGGGAATATTGCAGCCTGTTAGGTTAGCCGCTGAAGCAGCCTATGATTCATGCATTCTGTCCTCTTAAAGCGTCTTGCTTTGGAATGCACTCCCGCATTCAGCAGTGGAACCCTTTAAATGGCCCTCACTAAGGTTGTTGATGGAAGATAATTGTGGTAAGAGTGATTAGTCAATTGCTGCTGTTCATAACATCTCTGTAAACAAACCATGGGCCACGTTGGAATTGGATCTAGCTTAGCGGTCGTACATGACGTCCTTACTGAATGAGCCAGTGAGGAATGAGTTGTGTTGGAATCATTGAGATCGTTATACTTGAGTCATATCGATCGTATTGTTGTTGTGAGCGGTGAAGCGGATTTTTCCCATGTTAACTTTGTCACTTTCAGCTCCTATCACTTCCGTCACTCAGTAACAATATTCGCGTCCCATATCACTATCATATCACCCTATATCATCTTTCCGATTCAAGGTCCCACTCTTGCTGTAACCTGCGTTAAAAATTTGGTGATCCTCCCCTTCCGAGGCTCCTTATCGGATCTTATCAACTGTTATCACTTTCTGTCACCTGCC